CGCCATGATTCCGTAGGAAGCCGTGCACGTCACAACATCCTCTACCGTCCGGCACACGCGCTGCTGGTCTAGCAGCTACTGAGACCCCACCTCGTCGCTACGACCGAGCCTCGGCGCAAGTCCGCTGCTTCAACGCACTCACTCAACGCCACTGCTGCCTTTTCTTCGGACTCCGAGGAGCGCACAGACATCGGCATTAACGCGTGTAACGCTCGACTGAACAACGTCTAAAAAAGACGTCATGTTATGAATGTGTGCCCACGCTGCAGGACGATCCCAACACCCGGTGTTGGCGCGGACCTTCTGCTGGGTGGAACCGTCCACAATGTCGTCATGCGCCCGACCACACTTTTTAAATGGAGCAAGACGTCTGGGTACAGCCTTAGGACACAGCAGGAGAAAGAGAGAAAGTAAATACGGAATAATGAAAGCAGCGAAGAAGTGGAAAATTAAGGAGAAGGAATAAAGAAATGAGAAAGAAAGAAAATGCTTAGACAGAGTGCAAGAAAACTTTTAATGAACGAACATCCAATTCAGTTCATTTCTGGCTTGTAGTGTCAAAGAAACTCTGTTCGATGATGCAGCTAGACTTAAAAGTCTCAGGTTTACAAACTGCAAAAGGTTCAATAAATTTAAGAATTATTTCCTTTTTAAAAATCAAAGAACGCATTTTTATTTGCATTTCTTAAAACCCAACATAAGAACGTTTTACGACGTATCGGTACTATTTTTTTCACAACTGAAAATCTGAAAGAACAGGTAAGAGATCTTAACGTGTCTGTCTGTACCACACTTCATGCTCTCTGTTTTGATTCCTCGTTTAAATCTTGACAAGCAACAAAAGTGAAGGTAAATTACAACACTTGACCTTGCTCACATCTGCTAATGAAAGGGCCAAGTACCTACATTTAGGCATTATATTCATCATCATTGTCAGAAATCGCAATTCTCGTATTTATATTCCGGTGGAACAAATGTTGGGCGTCATACGTCAGTAAAACGACCAAACCAAATTTTATGCACTTTTGTCTCACCGAAGTAAAATGTTTTCTTTTATTTAAAACACAGAACCTTGTAACAAAAATAAACACTCCGTTGTTCACGTAGGAATCTGCGATCATGAATATAACTCTACGAAGTTGGCATTCTACGCGGGATAAGGGCATGAGGACAACAACACTGGCCCCCCCTTCCCGAATACTTCTTACCCACCGCATTTTTAATTTCTTTGCTCCGACGTCAAGCTAGACCCGGGCAGAACCAGCAGTAAAGATCTTTGTAACAACAAAAATAAACTATCTCGTGTTCTGGTCGATTGACGTTCCGGTGTACCACACAGCAAAAACTTAAAAGACTGAGCCGGTGAACTATCTTCAGTTGTCATGTGACGTCAGACGATGGTTCCATGTTTGGGAAGAGACGGTAATTAAGCCGTCGGTCAATGAGTTCGACTTTGTATATCAGGGTAATGTAAACACTTGAGGGTTCAATGCTCGTTCGAAGAAACTCGGAGGAAACAATAAGCCTTGGTCATTACCCAAGTTAAAAGAAAGCTATTATAAAACTGCCACAGTCTTCACGACAAAGTTATGAAGGCAATATTTTGATCTAAGATGGATAAAAGTGAAAAAATAACAGAGAAAACGTCATTACAATGAACTTCAGTGCTGAGGGCCTATTCACACCTGACATTAAAAATAAATACAAAAATGTTGTACGTCCTGATTTTTGGTTACAGTGTAAAGCGAGCTAAAGACAAATTATAAATGTCTGAAACAAGTTGCTCATTAAACGTTTTTAGAAATGTACAGGACATTCCTGCAACCCAGTGGAGCAGATATTCATGCCCCCTTCCTTGTTGTAAATCCACAACCGCAATTCTGATTGCCTAGCACACTCGTACGACATACTCGGTTGAAGTTACCTGGTCCACTCACATTGGAGGTACGCAGGGACCTTATCAGCATTTCACCCGACCCGTCACGAGGACTATTCGGCCCGACTTAGTCCGGGCCCAAAGTTTATCTTGAAATATGTTACCCGCACCATATATAAAGCCGACGCACTTTCAGTCCAGCCCAAATTAAGCCCGATCTATTTACAATCTTCCCTGACTTATACATCATTAATACACGTTTCCCTGGATACTTAAATTCCAGCATTCCTCGAATTATTCAACGACCCTCTAAGAACATCTGACCTTATTTTGGCGTTTGACATCGGATGCAAAGTTTCTAAGGCGTTACTTCGAACTACTTCTGGGAGCGGGCAGTTACGAAAAGTGTCCCACTAACTGTATGACGTAAGAGGGGAGTATCTGGATGACGCGATGATAGCCACACGTGTTATGACGTAAATATCGATGTAGTAGCGATGACGAGTATGAGAACTGATTCAGCTGGGAGGAAACACGCACTGTCCCACTCGCTGCATATACAATTAGTGACATCAGTGACTGGAGTGGGGTCGGACAATTATTTTCATGATTTCTTTTCAGGCATAACATGAATGCACAATGTGAAGTCATGTTCGTGAGCCTATCCTTCCATGAGGCCGCGATTTCATGTTACGAAGACTGAACATAGAGCACAAACAAGAGTTTGGCTTGAGCTACGCCATATTTTGTTGGTGAAATTGGGAAATTTAACTTTGATGTGGCCAGTGAATTGTCAGGACTGTGCATTGTGAAAAAAAATGTAGTAGATAATTTCCATTTGCAATAAATTAACAGCAAGGCCAATAAGATTTACTCAGCCACGTATAACACACTGTGTTGCAAATTGCAGAATCCTTTCTGTATTATTCTGTGGAAAAATTGTTCGAAACGTTATCGATTATTTGTACTGGGTAATTGTAATTTACAGTTCTGCCAACAGATATCGGATGGATAATGAATGAATCTGTGAAGACGGTAATGAAAATTTTTTCTATAAAAGGCGGAGAAATTCTTGGCTACGTATTCGATCACCAGTTTCTCAAAGAGCACTGCTCCACTGTTCGTTGGATAATTCATGGAATAATAGCGCCACTCCTAAGCCTGAACATCCCTTTACACCATTACGTATGCGCACTAGACAATCGCTGACGCTACTGTTACAAATATCAAATAATTTGTTCGTGAATCATGCAGTGTCACTGAATCGTATTTATGAGTCACGTAGTAAGACAATTGGGTAGAAATAACAAAAATTTATCGAATATAAATCAAAACTTTTCTGGTGCCAGGGAAAGGGTTGAAGTCCAAAAATTATATCCGATGTGTGATTTCTACTTTACAGCTATTACAACAGCCTTGATTTCGTACGTAAATTGTATAATCATATTTCTATATTTTTTAAAACAAATCAATAAACATTATTTGTGAGAATTTGAGGTTCTCACGGCGGTGAGTCCGATGATGGCCGCGTATTCTGGTAGAAAATTACTAACTCTGAAAGGTAGGTGCAACCCAGAAGACATTCGCGTCTCGTATCCAGAATATAGGCCAAGTCAGAAGATTATTGTTTATATTAAGCATGTTAGCCCAGCTAGCATGGTTAACATGAACGCTCAGTTCTGTATCCATTTACATTTTACCTGTTGTGTTATATGGGTTCAAAATTTGATCTCTCATCTTGAGAGAAGAACCCGCAAACATTAGCCAACTACAACTTGCATTGCCTCAAAAGCTGTTTAAAATAACCCATCAGGTCAAAACAAGTGACTGAAAATACAATAGCATATTAAAAGCAGAGAGCCTGCATAATAAGAAGCCTAATAATCTCTACTCTTCCCCAAATATAATCAGGGTTGACCAAATCAAGCAGGAAAAGATAGGCAGGGCGATCGTGGGAAATATAAAGTGCACACAAAAATTTAATTGAAGAATCTGAAAAAATAGACAATTGGCAATACTGTCTGGGACATGAAGTCAAGACCAGATGACGTCACAAGGCCACAAAGGTTTCAAAACTTGGTCCATGTCGTGCACATGTCACCCTCGATCACAAGGAACTTGGTTAGGAGAAACTACTTCATCCGTGAGTATACACATTTTAGATTAAGTTGTGTACAGCGATGAATCACGGTACCACCGTAAGTGGGTGGATACGTTGATAGCCAAAACAGTTGAGTGATGTGTATTTCAAACATCACTTCAGATATTCTTCTTTAGGCTACGTCAAACTTGAGGAAAAGAACAAACGCACGCGTCTGTGAACGTGGTGGACATGCCCCACATTTAATATAATATTTTTTTCCTGATTTTAATGTAATTTATTTTTTTGACACAAAGAACATGTATTAAGAATGGGTTGCGTGACTTCTTGATCACTTTGTAAAGAACTGGGAATCGTAGTCAAATGAAAAACTTTATTTTGATATAAAAAATGGAATGTGAATACTAAAAACATACACAATTGAAGGTCGGGGAAGACAGAACGCTTTGTTCCTGATTACACGCTATCCGCAACATAAAAATTCTCAGCGGAGTACAATAATACAGACATTTTTGTTTACAGTTGCAACTTCGTTGTGAGTGTGTGATACGCCGTGTCCTGCCTTGAATGGGTTAACGTAAGAGTCATCTACTTAGATACACTAACATCTCCATTCACTTCAGTTAATGATACGGGATTAGACACTTTCTGAGGTTACAAAAGCAGTTCAATGACTCTCATTCGTGGTCTTCCAAAGTCTTGCTTTCCACGAGATCTGTGGTTTCTTTTCTCCGCTGTCTGGCATCCAGACTTCTCACTTATACCCACTGTTCCTTAACATAATCGGTGATTTTATTAACTTCAGATAAGTTC